TGCCCGGTATACACCAACTCAGGGACGTTGGTGGTGAAGGAGTTCAACAGGGCTTGCTCAAATTGTTGGAAGGTACGATTGTAAACGTACCCGAGAGAAGTTCACGCAAACTAAGGGGTGAAACGGTGCAGGTGGATACCACAAATATACTGTTTGTTGCATCCGGGGCTTTCAATGGATTAGACAGGATTATCAGCAGGAGAAAGCAGCAAAAGGTATTGTGATAGTTGCTAGTTGATGTTTAAAACGTTTAACAGCCGTTATATCATGAGCCAAAGTTATTCTGTCCATATTGTAAATTACTATAAAAACTTCAATCGCTTTTTAAATAATTAGTTTTAAAGTCAAGTTTTTTTTAATACAAGATTACGTAGAAATTTTGACTTTTGAGTAACAATAAGTGATTACAACCACATTTGATGGCATACATGTTGAATCATTTATTATCAGAAAGCAAAATTCCTATCAAAACACAATCAATTGTGATTGTTTCATGTCTAAAAAAAACAAAAAAAAAACAAAACAGTTTAGGGCCATAAAATGGACTTTCAGATTTATGTTGGAGAACATGTAAAATACATTTCATTTTTTTTTCCAAATCTAAAAATCCTAAGTGTGTCTTTTTCATGATTTTCATCCAAAACTACCTCTCCCAACACCACTGAGAGAACAACTGAGCATGCTCAGAATAAATAATTAGCTTAGATTGATCTTTACTAGACTTGTCACCTCCGACAATGTACAACACACACTTAAATGCACGTATGTGCAGTCGGTCTGGCGAACCATTTATTTAACAAAACACACTAAAAAAGCCGACTAAAAAACGGCTGCCATTACATTGCATGTAGTGTTCAAATTGAAATAAACTAAATGAGAGAAAAAATAACTTGCATGGACTGCAAAAAAGATTGACTATTGATCCTCGGCAAATGGCATTAACATTATTCGGTCAAAGAAACATTTAAAATAACTGACAAAAACATCGACAAAATAGTAACCCCCGTTACTGGCACGCCGACCGTCCAGGAAAAACCAGGAATAAAACGAAACCGTTTGGGAACAAAAAATACCTGGAAACCTGTACCCGTCGCACTGTCGAACGTGCCCAGGGGAAGGTGGCGGGTGTTGCCCTGTATTACACAACAAACATCAACAAACTTATATAACAACCAGTTGAAAACTGCACTGTAGCGAGACTGGCCTAGACTGACATTCAACCTTCTGTCCTCCACTTAAATACCCCTTGTCACATGACCCCACATTCCATACCCGTCTGTTTGCCATCCCGAACAGACAATAGTTAACCGCTATACTGCGAAACGCGGTTAACAATATTAATGCTCGGGTTTTTAGTGATGTCATGACCTTGATCTGAATCAGTGACAGATGGGTCATACCATTACCAATCTCAGTGGAAATTGTAGAGGGGTGTCAGGGCTACATTTTGATGGGAATTATAGTGGTGATACTGAAACAAACCCAGGTCCTGGTAATATACAAAGACTTGAATTAACAAAGAAGTCAAGTTGTTATTAAAGGTACATCAAGGTTTACTCAGATTTATGAATGCAGTTTCTTGAGCATGTATGAGACATAGTTTGGTTACACTTGTGTACTCTAAGATTTTGGACCCGGGTCAATGAAAGTTTTCAGTTATCATATTATGATGAGTTGTACCCACATAGAGTACATATTTATTGTTTGCAGATATAATTCAATAACGGGGACTGTGACATTCATGTCTTGTTATTATGAAAGCTGTTAAAACTCTTTCAGTACTCATTTTACCTCTAACTAATCACCTCTTCAAAAAAAAAATATCATACATCAACATCATAATAGATAACTTTGATAACTTTTTTCGACTTCTTCTTGAAAACTACTAGCTCAACTGCAGTGATACTTGATACTAAATTTTAATATCATTTTTGGTTAAAAAAAAGATATTTTCACCTTCTTTAAACACACCAGCTCTTTTGCAAAAATGTTATTTGGTATGTAGGTACTATGAAGGGTGGTCTTCTGTCAAATTTGTTAGGATACTTACCGTGTACAAAGCACACAATGGGAAACTTTGCAGTTATTCTGTCTGCTCCACCAATATCTCAGAAACCTCTCTTCAGATTTTGATGACTTGGTATATAGATACGCTGTGATAATGGCAGAACTGATTACTTTTTTGCTTGACATTTATGAATATGAATGATCTCATTTGCATATAATGAGCCAATTTTCAGCTGTTCCACTGATTTCTCAATGTTTGTATTCATTGTCATCATTGTTAACAATTTTATTGTTTTTTTTGGCTTGTTTAGTATCTTGGATTTGGAGCCCCTGCCAATATCAGCCCAGGGAGGAGAGCCGCTACCGCTGGGGATATATTAAGTATCACTGAGGGGCAGGATGCTAAAGCTGACAATGAAGAGAGAGATGCGCTTCTTGCATTGGTGGAGTCAAGGGATCTTATAGAATTCGGAATGATACCAGAGTTTGTTGGTAGGTTCCCTGTGGCTGTTTCGCTGACTTCTCTAGATGAAGAGATGCTGGTGAGGATATTGACGGAACCACGTAATGCGCTTGTACCACAGTTCCATGCTTTACTTGGTATGGATAAGGTGAGTGTTTGTAATATGTCTGATGGAAGATTATTTCCTAGTTTATTGGTGTTGATGGAAAAATATCAAAAATAATACCCAAACATTCAAGTCAAATTCACTACGTTCAATTACCCACCATAGACTCCGGTCAGTCAAAATGACTATTTTGAATTGTAGCATTAATCACCGATTTTACCGGCTGCAGCGAGGCTGTGCCCCTGGAGGCTTTCCTCCTATGGGGCCCGTTGCGGGTCTCTTTGTGGACCCTTCCTCGCACGGCGCCGGGTTTGCCTCTAGTTGAGGGCTTTGGTCGA